AGTATTTTAAATAGTACTTATTATCTTGACACCCCCCGAAATATCTTCTTTGTATATACTACACCCAGCACAGTGCCTAACACTTATCAATGATAGGCATGTGCATTTTTGTGAATTATACATTAGAAATCCTGTCTGTAAGTAGGTGGGGTATAATTATAAATACATACATATAAAAAGGACATTTAGGCCGGGTGCAGTGGCTCACGCCTGTAATCCTAGTACTCTGGGAGGCCAAGGTGGGCGGATTGCTTGAAGTCAGGAGTTTGAAACCAGCCTGAGCAAGAGCAAGAGCAAGACCCCGTCTCTACTATAAATAGGAAGAAATTTATTGGCCAACTAATATATATATTAAAAAAAAATTTGCTGGGCATGGTGACACATGCTTGTAGTCCCAGCTACTTGGGAGGCTGAGGCAGAAGGATCGCTTGAGCCCAGGAGTTTGAGGTTGCTATGAGCTAGGCTGATGCCACGGCACTCACTCTAGCCTGGACAACAACAAAAAACTGTCTTAAAAAAAAAAAAAAAGGACATTTAAATAATTAAGGATTAATTTGTAGTCTATTATGGACTGATAATAATTACATCTGAATGACTGAGACCATTTTCCAGCCTTCAGCAGAGTAACAAAGCAACATCAACAAAAATCTGATCACTCTAAGCAAATTCTCTATCTGTTCAGCAATATGTTCACTGATGCACTAATTGATGAATAAGGAGAACCGATTAATAATGAAAGCCAACAAATCCTTTGGGATATTGCCAGGAAGGTACCAATACTATGTCAATCTCTATGGAAAATTACTGTTGTCCTATTAAGTCCTTGCTGCTTGTCCAGACCCTGGCATTTAATGAGTGTTCAATAAAAATCTACTGAAAGAACAAATACAATGTACTTCAATTGTTTCTATACAGCTAAGAAACTTTCTACACATTTGATAGTTTCAGCATCAGCTTATCTTTGAAATATTTAATATTTCATGTTATGGGAGACACAGGTTCAGGAATAGAAGTTGGTAAGTATTAAAGTCTCGCCCAAACAATAGAAAGAAACCTAAAACTGTCGTACAGCAAACTGCTAAGATAGTCAAGAAAAACATTTAAAAACTTTTGAGGTTTACCTCTAGACTGTTAAGAATCAATGGTTACACATAAACCAAGTTGTGCTCACTCTAAATAGAAACAGAAAACACTCTTGAACCTTTTAGTGACCAGAGGTAGTGTCAAAACAGCCCCAGAAAATACTAACATTAAGTGTTATTTTAAAAATATTGAAAAAAATGGGAAAGCAATTTATATCCACTCTTTACTGATGACAAATGGAAATAGTTATTTGCCTCTTCCACCACTCACAAAGGTACCAAGTATATCTTTTAACCCAGTGGTCTGCAACCTTTTTGCCATCAGGGACTGGTTTAATGGAAAACAATTTTTCCATGGGAGGGGGGGGTGGTTTTGAGATGATTCAAGTACATTACACTTATTGTACACTTTATTATTGTTACATTGTAATATATAATAAAATAATTATACAACTCACAATAATGCAGAATCTAATGCCACTGACACTGATCTGACAGGAGTAGTTCAGGCAGTGATGGGAGCTATGGGGAGCAGCTGTGAATACAAAAGAAGCTTCCCCAGCTCACCACTCACCTCCCGTTGTGTGGCCAGGTTCCTAATAGAATACAAACCAGTACCAGTCTACTGGGGGTTGGGGTTGAGGACTGCAGTTTTAACCAACAACAAATATTTTAGCTGAAAGTTTTACTTCAGTTATCTTTTTTTTTTTTTTTTGAGATAGGGTCTTACATTGTCATGTGGGCTAGAGTACAGTGGTGTTATGGTGTCATCATAGCTCACTGAAACCTCAAACTCCTGGGCTCAAGTGATCATCCTGCCTCAACCTCCCAAGTAGCTGGACTACAGGCCCCAGCCACCAGGCCAGCTAATTTCTCTATTTTTTGTAGAGACAGGGTCTCACTCCTACTCAGGCTGGTCTGGAACTCCTGGCTTCAAGTGATCCTCCCACCTTGGACTCCCAAGAATTAGAATTACAGGCGCAAGCCACTGCACCTGGCCTAGTTACCCTTTCTAAGACATCTTAGTTTGATGCTTTCAATTGAGATGTTTTAAAAAACAATTTTAAAGCTACAACATATGTGAAAAAATATATATACACATCCCTCTAGTTTCATTCAGGTTTCTTAAGTGGCTCTAAGTAAGGTAAGGTTCTTATATTACCATGGTCTATCCCTCTCTTTTTCACTGTAGTAGCATTGCCATTTGTGTTGGAATAGTACTTTGGCAATGATTTCAACAGAAAGGTTATGAGGAAGATTCATTCAACCAGCATTTTCTGAACAACATTAAGCACTATTCTAGGTGCTGTGGGAGAAAAGATATATAAAGCAGGGTCCCTGACCTTAAGCTGCTCACAATGAAATTAGAATATTCTAAAGTGCCTACAGGCCTTTTCTCACCCCCTGGACCAGAGCACATGGCTCTCTTAGCTTAGTGTTGACAGATCCATGAGGTATCTACTGAAAACTTTTAAATGTTTTGTTTTCATTTCAGCATTCATCTAAGAGACAAATACAAGCATATTCTGGGGCATCTGAATCACCATCTCACCTCTAAGTAGTGCTATATGTCTTTCATATATAAGCTTTTTTTGACAGACTAAGGAGACTACTTCCAACTGTCCGAGATAAGGAGAAAAGAATGGGCCAGACACCGAGGCTCACGCCTGTAATCCTAGTACTCTGGGAGGCTGAGGCAGGAGGATTACCTGAGCTCAGGAGTTCGACACCAGCCTGAGCAAGAGCAAGATGCCATCTTGTAAATAAAAAAATAAATTAAAAAAAGAGAAAAGAATGGAGCTGAATTTAAAATGTAAATATATCTATGACCCTGGAGAGGTAAGACCTCCCACCTTACTTTTAGAAAAAGGAGAACTGAGTCATCACATAGCCTAGGGGAGTGTTAACTTGCCAGACTCACAAAGTCCCTGCACTTTAACAATTGCTACCATATCCTCAATAAAAAAAAAATAAAAATCAGCAAAATACCACCCATACTGAGTTAATTTAGACTGGCATTGGCTGGGCGTAGTGGCTCATGCCTGTAATCCCAGTGCTTTGGAAGGCCTAGGCAAGAGGATCACTTGAGGCCAGGAGTTTGAGACCAGCCTAGGCGACATAACAGGACCACCCTTCCCTTCCTGCCCTCCCCCCACGACTCTACAAAATAATTTTTTTTAATTAGCTGGGTGTGGCAAATACAAGCAGTCCTAGCTACTGACACTGAGACTGAGCTACTGAGTGAGACTGAGGTGGGAGGATCTCTTGAGTTCGGGAATTTGAAGTTATAGTGAGCTACATATGATTGTGCAACCTGGGCAACAGAGGAAGACCCTGTCTCTAAAAATAATAAATAAATAAAACTTAAAAATTAGACTAGCTTTGTTTCTATTTAATTTGTCTTACTTTTAGTTCATACTTATTTTTATGTTTGTACACATTTGTTAATAATATCCCAATAAGAAATATGAGTTAATCTGGTTTTCTTCTCTGAACAAGGGTGCACACACTACTCAAAGTAGAGAAATAGTGACTTAACTCTTATTTCATGCTGGGCCAAACTTTTTACCTTAATTTTTCAGAGACAATAGGCAACCTACCATTAAATTATAAAGGTATTTTTAGCTGAACACTCTGGCTTTAATTGAAAGGTCAATTGAATGCACAGACAATAACCCAATTTTTTAAGGTCATCTAACTGTTCTTCCAAATAGAAGAAACAGGTGACTTGGCCCACAGGAACACAGAAGTGACTCTGCATATTTTTCTCATGTTTAGGGACAGTATCCATGCCACAGACACTTAATATCTACAGCCAATCCTCGATTCAAGAAGAACATTATATTCTTAACACATGTTGGTTGATATTAATGACAGGAGTTAAAACCAAAGGACACTCATTAAGAGAAAATATTCAAGCAATCCTCAGTATTGTTAAGACACATACTAAGCTGTTCCAAGTAAAAGCATTTACACTCTAGAAATTACCACTTCATACTCTGGCAACTAACAAACCTTATCAAAGAAAATCACATAGTACACTCTTGTGCACCAGATGTCAAAGTAGAGTTTGTTGTCAGTGTTTAAGATATCATAGACATAGGTTTGTTATTTTTCTGAGTTCCTAAATCCCAACCAATAACATCACAACAAATATTTTACAACAAATAGGTGATACCTAATATTACTAAGATTGTAATCCTTAAACTTATATGTAATTTTTGCCCCCAAAGTCCATTTTTTTTTTTTTTACAAAATGTGAAAAATTGTTTTCAGTGGATATTCACAAATAATGTGGTAACTGATTATTTATGCTATTGCTGTTTTTTTGTTTTTCTTCAGTGACTTTACAAGTAACATCATAACAGAACTCTCCAACTCAGGAAATTAACATGGTTAAGAACATATGGAATGGGTTTAGAACACAATTTCCAACCTGATTAGGAACATAAGTGCAACATTAAGCAGAAACCCTTAACAAAAGTCCAGGCATTAGACCAAATCCTATTTATGATAACACAATCTGATTTTTAAGAATAATTGTTGGTAATTCTCCATAAGCAATTTAGGAAACAAGATACCATCGACCTTTCTCATTTCTCAGCCGAGTTCCACATACTAAGAGGGCAGGGCAGCAGAAATAATTACGATAGCAGGGGCAAACACTAGCCTAGATAAATATAAAGGCTTTATACTCTTAATTCGAACCATACTGATATTCCTGGCATATTCCTCAGGAAGATACTTCAAATTTACAAAATATTCCTATGGTTCCAAGAAAAACCTGATCAACTAAATTAGTAAAAAAATTTTAAATTCCAACCTTTCAATTTTTAGTCAAGTATCAGTATCATATGCGAATCCCATTGGTTAATCTTTTTGAATACACACTGAGCCAAACACTCCCCGTTTACTCACCTTGTTTAGGCTTCATGACACCCATAAGAAGCAAGTACTATTACTCTGCTTTCACAAATGAAGACATTAAAGCCTCAAGAGTTTAGTAACTGGCCAGAGTTACAAGGCTCACAAGGGTTGGATCTGAAATTCCAACCCAGGACCACATCACTACTCACAGGCGAGATGCTGCCTTTGCAGTTAACTGCATGCCTACAAGTAGTTGGCGAGTTCTTCAAAGAAACAACCAAAACGTCCTAAGTGAAGGGAAGTTCATAGAAAAACTTAGGTTCCACGCGTTAAGCACTGAGTCCTGGGCGATCATGTATATTTAACAGAATAAAGAAAAACGCGATGCGTTAGAAAAGGCACAGTTCAGGAAAGACCTGAGGAGTGTTCGAACTCCCAACACGTCGACGCCAATCACCAGTTACTGCGGGAAGCGCATTCTGGAGTGTTCCGCCTGCTAGAGAAGGGCACAGACAGCTCTCCACGTCGGGCGCCGAGGGGCTGGATTCCGGGCGCGCCCCTCCGCACGCGGCTGGGGCAGGCCGTGGGCCAGGCCCGGGCCAGGCCGGCTCCCCGCGCACACTCACCTTCTGCTCCTCTGCGGAGGCTGCCTCGGGGACTTCCGCAGACATAGTGCTCCCTCTGCAGACGAGACGCCGGGAAGAGATGCGATTACCGGGTGGCCGAGGCCGCCGGGCCACCGCCTCAGGCCCGCCGCCCGCCCCGCTCTCCTAGCGCCCGCCGGGGCCGCCTCCGCCCGCGAAAATGGCCGCCGCCTATGACGACACGGAGCCCCGAGCCGCTCGGCCGCCGCCGCCGCGCCGGCTCCCCGCCGTGCCCCTCCCGCGCCGCGCCCCTACCTACTTGACCCCGCTTCTCCGGCTCTGCGACGCCCGAGCACTTCCTTTTTCCTTCAAGCGCCGCGGCTCGCGCCTTACCTCACATCCGTCTGTGACTGCCCAATGCATCCTGGGAATTGTAGTTTTTAAGTGGAGCCGCCTCTCCCCGCCCTTTCCTGTCAATTCTGGTCCCTTCTGTTTCAGGAGCTTTACTATGCGCACTTCCCCACGCCCGCCTAGTTCCATTCTCTTCCTAGCTCTCCGTTCTGCAACCACACAAGCGTTCTTTGGGGCTCTGCAAAGCTTCGTGCTGCTCCCCTCCACAAGTCTCTGCCCACTGTGCTTCACCTCCTCAACCCCATTCATCTCTTACAACCCCAACTCTACCTTGTTGCCTCAGGAGAACCTTTCCTTCCTGAGCCTCTCCACGAGGTCAGATCCACTTCTTAAAGGCTGTCACAGCACTGTACATTCCTCAACAACACGCACTGTATCATTGGACAGTGATTGTTGTGATTACTTTGTTAATGTCACCTTTTGTCCTCAGATGAGCCACACCAGGGCAGGGACCTTGTGTGTATTTATTTATATTTCACTACGAGAGCCCAGCATTTCCTAGATATTCAGTAGATATTCAATAAGTATCTAACGAAGGAATTCGACTTCCATTCGTCTATTTCCAGGGGTCCTCCTTCACAATTTTACCAAGCTGGAATCTAGCTCCCCTAAGGACTTTCTTAAATGCCAAATCCTGTGTGGCTTTATATGTAAACCGCATTCAACTTGACATCTGCATAGCTATTGGCAATACATGTTGGTCCCAACAAAGTGTCCCACAAAAACTTGGGAATAAGATTGCCCTCTGAGAGTTAAACTAGTAAAAAGCCACAGAAAATGAATGCAATTCAGGTGAGGGGAGGACAACGGAGGAATTAAAAGGCCATAAGTGGTTGGATGAGGAATTTGGACATTCTCAAAACTCAGCCAGTGTCTACAATCTCAGACAGGAAGAATTGCACTGGGATTGCAATTGGAAAAACAAAGAGCTATATTGCACTCCTTTTAGAGAAAGGAAGGAAGGGGTTTGTCAGTCAAGGAAGCATTTAAAATAAAAGGGCTTAAGAGGCCAACTTTTGATAAAGATAACCCTTGAGACTGTCTCAAACTGGGCCAGCTGAGAAACTTCATAAGATCAACTACATCTTTGTTTTCATACTCACAAAGTAACCTACTGGAAATTTGAATTTCCTTTAAGCAGAACTACAGAGAGAAAGGATAATGTACTAGTTAGGCTAACTGAAGAATCTAATAGTTGTATAAATATTGTTTTAATAAATTGGCATTCTGATATACATCCTATATTAATGTATTTGTAAACTTGGGTTCAAATCTGATAGACACAAATATATAGAAAATTGAATATATGACCTTGGATAAAAAGAATTTGTTCCTGGCTGGGCATGGTGGCTCATGCCTCTAGTCCCAGCACTTTGAGAGGCTGAGGCAAGAGGATCACTTCTTCACTAGTAATTTTGAAAAATACAATAAATTATTAATAATAATTTCCCTACTATACTATCAAATACTAGAACTTATTCCTTCAATTTAACTGTATTTTGTACCCATTAACTAACTTCTCTTCATAATCCCCTCCCTCTTTCTCTTCCTAGCCTCTGGTAATCACCATTCTACCCACTACCTCTATGATATCCACTTTTTAGCTCCCACATATGATTGAGAACATTCAATATTTGCGTACCTATGGCTGGCTTATTTCATTTAATGTAATGACCTTCAGTTCCATCTATGTTGTTGCAAATGACGGGATTTCATTCTTTTTTATGACTGAATACTATTCCATTGTGTGTATATACTCCATTTTGTTTATCCATTCATCCACTGATGGACCCTTAGGTTGATTCCCTATCTTTGCTATTGTGAATATGGCTGCAATAAACATAGAGTGCAGATATTTCTTCCATATATTGATTTCCTTTCTTTTGAATATATTTTAGCTTTTTGATGAAACTCAATACTGTTTTTCATAATGGCTGTACTATCTTACATTTTCAGAAACAGTGTACCGGTGTTCTCCCTTTTGTCTGCATTCTCATCAGCATTTATTGTCTTTTGATAATTGCCATTCTTTCCGGGGTGAGAGCTCATTGTGGTTTTGATTTGCATTCCCGATTAGTGATTTGAGCATTGTTTCGTATACCTGTTGGCCATTTGTATGTCTTCTTTTGAAAATGTCTATCCAGGTCTTTATATAATTTACTAGTTGGATTATTTTTATTGCCATTGAATTTTGAGTTCCTTGTGTATTCTGGTCATTAATCCCTTGTCACATAGTAATTTGCAAATATTTTCTCCTACTCTTCACTTTGTTAATTGTTTCCTTTTCTGTGCAGAAGCTTTTTAGCTTGATGTGATCCCATTTGTCTTTTTCTGTTGCCTAGGCTTCTGAGGACTTATCCAAAAGATCTTTGCCCACACCAATGTCCTACAGCTTTTCTCCAATGTTTTCTTTTAGTAGTTTCATAGTTTCAGATCTTGCATTTAAGTCTTTAATCCATTTTGAGTTGATTTTTGTATATGGCGAAAAATAAGGATCTAATTTTATTCTTCTGCATATGGATATCATTTTCCAGGCACCATTTATCAAAGAGATAGTCCTTTCCCAGTGTATTTTCTTGGTGTCTTTGTAGAAAATAAGTTGGCTGCGAATCTGGATTCTATGTATCTATTCTTTATGACAGTATCATGCTATTTTGGTTGCTATTGCTTTGTAGTATAATTTGGGTAGGATAGACATCCTAACAATATTAATTCTTCCAATCCATGATCATGGGATATCTTTCCATTTTCCTGGCATCCACTTCAATTTCTTTCAATAGTATTTTATAGTTTTCCTTGTAGAGATCTTTTACTTCTTTGGTTAAAAAAATTTTTTTGAGACAGTCTTGCTCTGTTGCCCTGGCTAGAGTGTAGTGGTATCATCATAGCTCACTGCAGCCTCAAACTCCTGCGCTCAAGCGATCCTCCTGTTTCAGCCTCCTGAGTAGCTGGGATCATAGGCATTAGCCACCATCCATGACTAATTTTTCTATTTTTAGTAGAGATGGGGGGGGTCTCACTTTTGCTCAGGCTGGTCTCCAACTCTTGAGTTCAAGTGATTCTGCCACCTCAGCCTCCCAGAGTGCTTGGATTAAAGGTGTGAGCCACTGTGCCCAGCCTAAATTTATTCCTACTTTATGGTTATTTTTGTAGCTACTGTAAATAGGATTGCTTTCTTGATTCCTTTTTCAGATTGATCACTGCAACAACAATTTAGAATATTATATAAACTCAGCTCATTAAGCAGCAGCAGGATTTGAGAGATTGACTCCAAGTTTGAAACATGTTCTACTATGGGAACATGCTATGGGAACATACTATCGCATGCTATAGAGAAATCTTTTGTAAAAGGAAGAGTCAGTTGATGAGGCAAATTTCATTGCTGTCTCATTTTTTAAGAGATTGCCACAGCCATGCTGACCTTCAGCAGCCACCACCCTGATCAGTCAGCAGCCACCAACATGGAGGCAAAACTCTTCACCAGCCAATTGACTGACTCACTGAAGGCTCAGATGATCATTAGCATTTTTCAGCAATAAACTATTTTTAATTAGGGTTTGTACATTATTTATTTTGTAATGCTATTACACGCTTATAAACCACATTATAGTGTAAACATAACTTTTATGTGCACTGGGAAACCAAAAAATTTACGTGACTTATTTATACACTTTATTGTGGGGATCTGGAACCAAACCAGCAATAATCTCCAAGGTATCCCTCTATTCTATTAAAGCCATTAAATATGAAATGTCCTATTTCAAATCAAAACTGTAGTTTATTATATCTCGAACAAGCAATACAAATTAATCAAAGATTGTGCTTAACTACAGGCACAGTTTTGCCATCTTAACAGTAGCTTGTTTACGCCAGCAGCAAAGAAGCCTGGAGAGCGAGTGGTGATGAAATCTTGAAAGGCGTTTTGCACAGCTTGTTGAGGATTGAATATTTTTCCTTGCAAGAAGTAGTCCAAAGCCTGGAAGAAGCGGTAGTCAGCTGGTGCAAGGTCTGGTAAATAAGGTGGATGACAGAGAGTTTCCATGTCCAGCTTCTGTAGCTTGAGCAGTGTTGTTTATGCAACACATGGTTGAGCCTTGTCTTGGAAGAAGATTGCCCTGGCTCTATTGATCAATCTTGGCAGCTTCATCGCAAGCATCCTCATCAGTTCATCCAACTGGATGCAATAGAGAGCCACTGCAATCAACTGACCATGTTTCATGAAGCTGTAAAGGATGATACCAGTGCTGGACCACCAAACAGACAACATTAGCTTTTTTGATGAATATTCGGTTTTGGACTGTGTTTGGGCACTTCATCTTTATCCAACTCTTGTGCCAAATGCTTGCAATTGTCATATAGAATTCATTTTTCATCACACGTAACAATATGGTGTAGAAATTGTTTGCCTTTATGTCATGACAGCAAAGAAAGGCAAATTTCGAGATGATTTCTCTTCTGAC